ACCGATGAACGATGCTGCTGGGTGCCGTCCATGGCTTGACATGTAAAAAGTTCTGGAATGAGTGGAGTGAATATTTTTATTGTGTTTGTTAAATGGTATGTGATGAGCTTCGGTACCGAGGTATAAAAACCACTAACAATAATAATAATGATAATCTGCTTTAGAAAGAGCACAGCTGCATGGTACTACCAAGTGCAGTGAAGAAAACGCTAGAAACAGGTCTGGATATGGTTGCATGCTGCCGTTAGTGGATACCTGGCAAGGGTGGCACTTAGCAGCCATTGCAAGTTATTCTTATTTGGCAATCTACAAGTGGACTGCTACCTGGCAGCCCTTGCCATTGGTTCTTATTTGGCAGTCTATACAGGGACTGCTACCTGGCAGCCCTTGCCATTGGTTCTTATTTTGCAATCTATAAGGGGACTTCTACCTGGCAGCCCTTGCAACGGGTTCTTATTTTGGCTGCTTATAAGGCGACTGCTACCTGGCAGTCCTTGCCATAAATCTTTTTTGGCAGTCTATAAGGGGACTTATACCTGGCAGCCCTTGCCATTGGTTCTTATTTGGCAGTCTATAAGTGGACTTATACCTGGAAGCCCTTGCCATTGGTTCTTATTTGGCAGTCTATAAGAGGACTTCTAGCTGGCAGCCCTTGCCATTGATTTTTATTTGGCAGTCTATAAGGGGATTTTTACCTGGCAGCCCTTGCCATTGGTTCTTATTTGGCAGTCTATAAGGGAACTTCTAGCTGGCAGCCCTTGCCATTGATTCTTATTTGGCAGTTTATAAGGGGACTTATACCTGGCAGCCCTTGCCATAATACTTTTTTGCCAGTCTTAAAGGGAACTTATACCTGGCAGCCCTTGCCATTGGTTCTTATTTGGCAGTCTATAAGGGGACTTCTACCTGGCAGCCCTTGCCATTGGTTCTTATTTGGCAGTCTATAAGAGGACTTTTACCTGGCAACCCTTGCCATTGCTTCTTATTTGGCAGTCTATAAGGGGACTTCTAGCTGGCAGCCCTTGCCATTGGTTCTTATTTGGCAGTCTATAGACCGATTTTTACCTTGTAGCCCTTGTCATTGGTTCTTATTTAGCAGTCTATAAGAGGACTTTTACCTTGCAGCCCTTGCCATTGGTTCTTATTTAGCAGTCTATAAGGGGACTTTTACGTGGCAGCCCTTGCTATTGGTTCTTATTTGGCAGTCTATAAAGGGACTGCTAATTGGCAACAGTTTCGTCCCAGCTACGATGTGACCTAATCACAAAGTAGAAATCCTATAAGAGGGCGCATGTCGCCACCCCGGGAAGGGATGGGATGTTGTATTTTTTTGGGACAATTCATTGCTGGCAATTTCTAACTAGGTTTTGTATTGATGTCAGTTTCTTACTAGGTTTTTAGTGATGGCAGTTTCTAAAGTTGGATTTATATTGATAAATTGTCTACTTATTTAAAAAAATGTATTGTGTAATTCCATTAATAAGGACACTATTAATCAACTTTTACCAAAACGTATAAGTAATGTAAATACTAATATTAGTAATGTAAATATGTCAAGGAAATGACAACACAGTAATTAAATGAAATTAATTAATGAGATTAATAAAAAAAATTATATTACATCAACAGATTTTTTTAAAAACTTATTATAGAAAGGACACAAACTGTTTATAACATTCAAATTCCAATTTACAATACATGTTATAAATCACAAATCTTAACGTATACAAAATATTTGATAGTCCAACCATCTCACAATTAACAAGACATGTTACACGATTCTCGCCATGGTATGTTTACAGTACTATTATGACAATTTACAAGACTGTTTATTTGCTACCCACCTCACTATTAATGCGACAGAATGACCTAATGTTGACTTTTGACTGTCCAACGATAGCACAGGCAAATAGACCAACAAGGCAAAAGTTGTAAGAATCAATTTCATTTCACTGTCCGTCAAATAAAAGACAGGACAAATGTTGTCAGCGTATTTTGACTTATTCACACGTCATTGAAAATTCAATAGTAAACACAAACAATGGCGTCTTTCTCGTGGATTGCATAACAAATATTTAATAGATTGTTTCTTGTGCACGAAGTACACATCATTTAAAAAAAAATATTTGTAATATTAAATAAGTCCGTTATATTTACACCGTATTCGATAACCTCGACCCTACTACCAAAAACTAAATAATATTAAAGTTAATGAAAGAGAAGAAAAAAAATAACACATGAAATAGTCAAGCAGACAAAAGACAAGTAATGTGTAAAAATAATGGGAATTTTTCAGCATTGTTATATTATTTCCTAAAAAGAAAATTGGGTATATATGTTACTGAAAAGTGGTAAATCCAAGAATTTATCAACTTATTAAAGTATATATTATTGGAAAGACATTTGAAATCTATTTTAAAAAAGGATGGATTTGTAATAAGTAATTTTTGTAATCTCTTCAAAAGGTTACCATTTTTCCAAGAAAATAGTAAATAAATTCTAAAGTGGGAACTGTACACTAGAACTTAGTGACCAAAGCCTCAGAGGTGACAAAACTTAGTTACAAAAGCCTCATAGATAACAAGATTTAGTTACCGCAGTCTCAGAGTTGACAAAACAAACAGACAACTGCACGTGAGAGGAAAAAACTTAGTGACCACAACTTCAGGGATGACAAACCTTAGTGACAACAGTCTTGGGCTTGACAAACCTTAGTGACCACAGCCTTAAAGTTGAAAAACCTTAATGTAGTTACCACAGCCTCTGAGTTGAAAAGCATAACGGACCACCTTCTCAGAGATGAAAAACTTTAGTGACCATATCATCATAAATGACTAACCTTGATTACCACAGCCTCAAGGTTGACAAAGTTTAGTGACCACAGCCTCAGAGTTGACAAACCTTAGTGACCACAACCTCAGAGATGACGATCAAGTTATGTGTACCAGTTCCAACTAGTCTCCAGTCTTTTAAAGTCATAAACTCTACCCCCCCCCATACATGTCCCCACACACACAATCCTTGGGTCTCCCAGCTGTTGCATTATGCACGATAATTAACCACTGTGATGTCACTCGGTAATACCACAATAGAAATGATGTTTGTAGTTATCACAGAGATTAAAATATTTCATTAGGGGAAAAAAAACAAACAACTTAAATGTTGCTGACGTCATCATTTTTTTCATGGAATATAATAGTTGCTAGTTCTCAAACACCTTTTTTTGGACTCTAACACTTAAATAAACTCAACATATTTAACACATTTGGTGATGCAGACACTTTGCAAATAAGTCAAATTCAATTTAGACAATTGCTGGCTTTTATAGAAATTAGTTTTAATCCAACAATAAGATAGAATCACAAATATCATAAAGTTATTTTATGTACCGTCATTATTACGTTTTCGTTTGAAAATTATATATAAATCATTTTAATTCTGGCCATATTTCCTACGGGGGCCTTAAGTAAGTCGCATGACCTACATTCATTTTATATAAAGCTATTATCTCAAATATTTCAAAATCTTAAAAATTGTAAAAAAATTGGCATCAGGTTTAGTTATTTCATCCATTTCAATTGCTAATAATTGATGACTCTCACGTGATGTGACCTTAACAATAGTTGACTTGCATTTGATGCTAAACCCAATGATTTCAAGTGCTCAATCCCCTTCCATTAAATCATTTCTGGCAACAACAAAGGAGATCTCTAATGTTGTTTTCCTGCGCTCCGTGTCTTGTATTTTCATTTGTCCTGTTCGCTTAAGAAGGCTCTAAGCCGAAACGTTTCCCACAAGAGCCAACTCGTTGATAGGACTCGCTAGCTTTGGACGACAACTCATCTAAGAGAAGGCAAACTCTAAGTTCAAATCAGGCGCCAGACAAGGCCATAACCAGCAGTTCGGGCTCTTACCAGCAAGAAGCCAATAAAGGAACTGCTCATTCCTGCCAAAGACAATTAGGGACTGGAACAAGCCTTAAAAAGGAACAGTTGAGGCAAGAACACTTGACAATTTTGCATCTATTGTCTCAGGCCTTCCAACTACCGGTGCATGATACCCTCACAAATTAGCCCTTGCAACCAGTGAAATATCTTCCTCAACACCCATTTAACGAAATTATCAGTAGGTGTGTTGTCCCAATTTAAATTTTTGCCGCATATTTAAAGAGATATTCTTCCGTGAGTTAATTCCTCCCAATATTAAACTAAGATTATACATTCTACTTCACATTTACCACCAATTTCAACATTTCAGCATAGTTTTCTATCAGTTTAAAGGTTCTCTCACAGCTTGCACTGCAGTTGATGAATGCGTGTGAAAGACCTCTATGAAGTATGCTCCGTTACCAATTTTGACTGTACGTTTGCTAGGATTAGGGTGCACCTCATCATGTATCCATGGGGAAGTTCTTCCACGAGTGCACACAGTCACCTCAGAAACATTGTCCCCGACTCTTGTGGATATTCTGCGGTCTGATGTCTGTAAAAAAATGCTAAGTATTCACCTTTAGGTGTTAGCAGCGACAACGGTGGGCGAGACGAGCCTCGCTACGTTAAGGGTCGTGGCCCGCCGGATGTATCACAAAGGAACTTATTTATTCTTCATTCAAAAAGCTGCTATTTTAATTTATGACAGAGACCCACATTTATATACACATAATTTTAAATAAGTAATCGTCAGTCCTCTACTTTGAAAAGTGAACTTCATTGGGCGTGCGAGGCTAACATCTATTTATAAATCATACTGCATGTTTATTTATTTACTATAACAATGCGATACTCCACAATTTTGAGGGGAGTCATGTACTATTTTGAGGCTATATTTTAAAATATTGGGAGTTCCAGTGTAATCGTTAAATCACATTTTTTCGGTCATTATATTTTCGTCATTTTCTCACAGTTAATAAATTACAACAAATTCAAACAACAATTGTTTTCTTAAACGTTTATGTTTGACTCCATCAATTCAACTACAGACAAAGACTTATTAAAGAAATGATGAATAGCGTTCAAGAGAGTATTTCAGTGAATATTTCCAGGATGATGTCATCAACTTTTACGTCTCCATCAACGTCAACACCACTTATAAATCTGTGAACTGTATAAAAAATCTATAAATTCTAACAAGATGTTCAAATGTTATGTACCATAACAAACAAATAATTTATATTGGTAGAATGTAAAAAAAAAAAAAGAAAATATTATTTTTTTAATTTAACTATGAATACTTATTAGAACGATCACTTTTGTTCTTGAATTATAATATCAAGTCTTGTTTCAAACGTAAAGCTTGCTAGTTAGAGAGTAAGACCTAGTCATCTCTGAGGAAAGCTCACTCAAAATATCCAAAATATTTGATACGTTTAAGATAGTATGATTACAATCATGAAGATGGTTTGTTTATATGTATTCCTATTGTCTTATGTAACAGTTTTTTTTTTTAATCTGACTAAATTCGTTGCCACATAATAAAGAATACCTGAGAAACAGCTCTATTATTTAAGGAATAGGTTTGCTTGTTTAACATAGAGCATAAAGTAGATAAAATACTTAGGCCTTTGTCTAACGCGTTACCTGATAGATTTTAAGCTGGGCAGTTGGTACAAGCCAGGTTGCCATTCATACAACTGCATTCCCCACACGCATCAGATGGGACGCTGTCGTAGTGGTTGTAGAGCTATCAAAAAAAATATTTTTGACAACATACATTAATTATGTCTTAAATGGGTATGATATTTCAAAAGATTTCGTTCGTCTGATTTTATAACATTTAAAAACAACGAATACGTCACTACAGGCTAGAATATTAGTCCAAAATAACACAAATTTATAAGAAGCGTTCCCAATTAAAAAAGTATTTATGTAACAGAAATAAGACATGTTAGTGTTAAATTAATATAAACTGAGTAAAACAAATTAGCTTTAAATCTGAAAAAAGTAAGACAAAAAAAACAAAGTACGTATCGGAAGGAAGCCTTCGTCAGTGAACAAAACCACATAATTAAATAATAGAAAAAAATATCACTTAGAAGCAGTATCCGTTGGCAGCAAATGAATTGTGACAGAAAGTAAGTCTCTCCCCTCATTACCCTAGTGTTGAATTATAGACACATGTCCATACCTGTCCCTCGATCTCACAGTCCAGCGGTTGGTACCATGGACAAGCCATCCTCGTACAGCCAAAGCCATCAGCTGAACAGAAACAGTTGTTGCAGCCATCGATGCGCTGTCCAACGTCGTCTCCTTCAGCAAAACGCTAAACAGAAACATCATGGAAATGTTTCACTATGACAAAATACCAGATAGCTCGCCATAACCCACTAAACAATGGCGGCAGTAAAGCGTATAGTACCAATCAATTAAGATTACATGACAAAACATGCATGCACGTAAATTAAATAATATGTCTGTCAATTAATTCCCCCCTACCCCCCAAAGCAATGACCACCGTATTAATATCATAATGTCCCATACCTTTTACATCGCAGATTTATTAAACCAAAAGTTTTGGTGAAAACATATAAAATATTTACGCACCAAACGCACTTGCGGCATTTTTAAGTGCTGCCTCTAGAGCTGTCATTTCGGAATTTTATTTTGCGCTGAATTAAACCTCATTGCTAGTGACGGATATCAATATAAGAATGAGCTATGCTGACGTAACTCCAAAGAGCAGAAAAGATTTAAGTACGTTAGGATTATTAAAAACAATCATAGTTATTTTCTATTATTTTACGAAAATCACGTAAATTTAAATGCGCCAAAAATAATTTAAATCCGCTTTTATTTTAGTAAAAGTTTAAGTGTTATTTTATAAATGAAAAGTACATTTAAAGTATCAACTAAGGAACTTTTTAAAGCATTTATATGTGTTTGAAAGTTATGAAAAAAAAATTAAAAAAATTATCATGATCAAAGAATTACACGCAATCACTTTTATCGGGAAAACCCAAACATCAGTCGTTTTTTTAGTGCTTCTTTTAGTGCGTTGTTAACATGGCGAAATAAATTAAAGATAATGTGTTCTAAATAATCACAAAAAAGACGTCACAGCTCAAAAAGCCCATTTTGCCAAAACGCTTAGGTTTCCTTAATTTAATGACCGTCCGTGACAACACGGATAATGTATTTTTCCTTCTTAAAAGTACAATTTATGAATACAATTGATTGCTTTTTAAATTGTTAATAAAACACACACACATTTTAGTTTTGTATATTTTAAAATTCAAAAAGTTTTGCCTTTTTTAATTCCAAAAATATACTTGTATTAAAATTGTAATTTAATAAAACTAACCTTTAAATGTAATAATAATTAAAATGCCGTTTAAGTAAAACAGTGCAGCGCAACTCCGTGGCCAAATAACATTCATTAATCCACTTATAACTCATAAAAATAAGAAAGAAACGCATAAAGTGCACATTATTTTAGTATGGAAGGAACTACAATCCGGTTGAAAATTTTCTAAATTTATTTAAATCTGGGAGAGGGAGGGGTTGGTTATTTGCCCCAGACGGCACAAGATACGTCTCAAAATAAAGGAATGAATTTGATAATTAAGTAATCTTCTTGTGAACATTCATATCTGATGTAGCAAATATGATGTGTACATTTTTACGCGTAGGACAATATATTTAAATCCTATGGGAATACATTTATGAAAAAAGAGAGATGTTACATTCTCTTGTTACAAATATGGGTATGTTAATTTTGTCCAAGGCAGCACAAGATACGTCTCAAAATAAAGGAATGAATTTGATTAATAACTAACCTTCTTGGTTTGATTTATAATTAACCTCCTTGGGTACATACATATCGGAGATAGTAAATAGGATGTCTACATTTTCACGTGAATGATAATAGTATTATTAAATCCTATGGTATTACCTTTGTGATCAAAGAGATGTTACATTCTCTGTTTAAAAATGAACATATCCTTAACACTTAAGAAAAATCAATGGCGTTAAAAAACGTGGTTACACATATATAAGTCTATCCATGAATATCAAAACCCAATCATTTTACACACTTGAAAATTAATTTTGAAAAATAGAGTGGGTTAATATTTATTTATAAAAAAGTAAATATATTTTGGTTTTTAATTTGCAAAATGTAAAGTGGTGTGTATTTTCATCAGATTAACCATTTAAATTATTTTTAAAACACCACTCAAATATATTATAGGCAGGGAAAACGGTTGCGCGATTCTTCTTTAGATAAAAGAATTCTTTGTTTTACGATTTTCTGATAATATATATATATTTTTTTTTTAAAAGGGCAAAAATGTCTTTACATTTTTGATGAAGATATCAATATATATCGCATTTCTGTAATATAAAATTATGTATATCATTTATAAGGTTTTGTTGTAAACTTAAGATTAGGTTTTTAACAAATTTTAGAGAAAAACAAGTTTTAATTTAATGGCATGAAAAGTGGTAAATCTTAACTATTTCTCTAGCGCAGTAAAATGTCCCTCAATTAACTTCTTTAGTGACAAATGTGATATAATTATTGATAATTTAGATGGGAGAATTTAAGGTCATGAGGGCAAACAAGTAGTTTAGGAGCGTGAAAGGGAATAGGGTAGGAGTATAATATATAACAGAGAAATACTTCTCAAAATTTAATGATGTTAGAAACGTAAATATCATTACATTTTTAAAGTTATAAATTGTGATTAGATTTTGCAATAACAATTAGAAATTATCACAAAGGAATCACCGTTATTATCTCGATAATATCGGGTCATTTATTCTAGTTCTTACATAGAGAAGTATGCGTGTTGTTTAAGCAAGTTATAAATGCAAGTTATATAATAGTAGGTTTTGTAGTTTATTTTTCAATAACTAATGTTTCTTAAGCCATTCTCTATGAAAAAACGCTCAGTTAAAGTCAACAATGCTCAGCTAATGACGATAATGCTCAGCTAATACCGATAATGCTCAGCTAATGGTAATAATTCTCAGCTAATGGCAATAACAAATAAATAATATTAATTGTTCATATCTTAATAATGACAACACGGTATCTCAAATCACAAACTATTTTAAGCAAATATTATACACTACTCACATCACAATTTACAACACATATTTTACACTACTTACATCACTATTTACCACATAGATTATGTTATACCGATCGCACAAGTTACAAAGAAATTTCTACAGTACTCACTGCACATTATTTACTACTTACCTCACCGTTGATGAGACAGACTGTCCCATAAAGGGGTTCTGACTCTCCAAAGACAGCACCAATACAGCAGACCCACAAAGCTAAAGTTACAAGTACGAATTTCATTTTACTTCCTGCAATAAAAGATTTTAAATGTTGTCAAAATAAATGTTATTATTAAACTGTCATTAGATAATCTCATGTATAAATATGAATAAACAATGTGTTTAATTTGTAGTTACCTAACGAATATTCAATTTAATACTTCCTCTATACTTACTATAAGTTAAACTCAAAATATTTTACAATATGAAAGCAAATATCGTACTTGTATTTTTATGTTTACATGTTGTTCTTATACCTTCTTTTACTTCAAAAGTTTACTTTTTGAAGTAATTAAAAATTATGCATGCAATGAGGAAACAAACACTGAACACGTGAAATAATCATGCAGTCCCTAGACAAGTAATATGAGTCAGAAGTGGGACTTTGCATTATGATATTACGCCTTAAAATAAAATATTGTTTATATATTTTACAGACAAAATGGGAAACCCAGGCATTTATAGATTGTAACATGTCAAAAGAACTTACTTAAAAGTGTGTTTCATGATTTACTCATATCATGCTTCTTGACATTGATTATTAATTCAGAAAGACTTTCAAGACCAAATTTGAAAATGATGAACGTGCTGTCAATAATTTATAGAACAAACCTGAAGCTGAATTTTTCAACAAGGTTTGTGCCCACAGATTCAGAGATGACAAACGAGTGATCTGTTTCAATTCCAACGAGACTCCATGCTTTTAAAGTTATCAACGCTGCCCCTCCCCTCTTACTCCGTCCCCACACACACCCTTGGGTCTCCCAGATGTTGCATTTTTTTCACATTCGATGACAATTAACTGCTGTGAAAATGACTAGGTAATTTCCCTGTAAAAATTATGATTAAAGTTCACACAAAGATGAAAGGATATCATTAGGGAAAATATTTGTATTGTTGCTTGTGTCATCAGAATGTGTTATATGTTGTTGTTCTTTAAAAATATAATAGCAGATGGTTCTCAGACTTTTGGAGGGCTCTACCACTGACCAAAATATAACTTAAACAATTAACGTATCTTGTACTACAGAAACTGGACAGCCATTGCATTTTTCCGTATAGCTCAGTTAGAACATTGTTTTAACTGCAATACACATTGCATTTGAATGATTAGTGGTTTTCGTTTCAAATTTAAAATGATGGTTGCATAGTTGAATTAAATAAATATGATCTGGATTTCTTTTTGGTTTTTAACATTATTTGAATTTTAAGTGATTGTGACGCTATTTGATACCTACGTGATGCCACGCTAATAAAAGTTGACTCGTCCAGGATGTGACGCTAACGATGATTGACTGGACCGTGATGTTAAGCTAAGAATAATTGACTCGTCCGATATGTGACTTTGGAGAGAAATGTTTGCAGAGAGGAGCCTTATCCGTGCTCACCGAAGTATCTCCATTCCAATTTATTCACAGGCATTTCTTAAACAATTTTTCTGGTTTTGAAATTTCTACACTTTAAAGATGGTCTCATATTTTTTTCTCTCTAATTTTAGCGCTAATTAAAATTCCAAAAAATCGAGTCAATAAAAGTCATTTAAAATACTCAGTATAATCAAAGTACAATAATAGACATGGCTGATAGTTACTTCCGAAATGGATGAAAGTAACCTCATATCAAGTGGTAAGATTACTTTTAACTATATAAAGTAGCTTTAAACATGGCCTACTTAAAGTCCTCATTGTCTGCCTTAAGCTAGCCACACGACCCACACACAAAATAAATGAACTCATCTAATGTTCTCGCTTTCTTCCTTTAGCTAGCCACACGACCCACACACCAAATAATGAACTCATGTAATGTTCTCACTGTCTTCCTCATGCTAGCTACACTCTACAAACCAAAATAAATGAACCAATCTAATGTTCTCATTGTCTGCCTTAAGCTAGCTACACTCCACACACAAGATACATGACTTATTTAGTGCGCTCTGAGCAGGCAGTAAACAACTTTTCATCTCCTCATTTCTTTTCTTTCATCTAAGTGATAAAATTTTTTTAAATTTTTTTACCTTATACGTTCTCATCAAATAATATTTTTTCAGATTTTCATATGGACAGCCATGCAACCATTAAGATATGCTCTGTCGATAAGATAATTTAGCTTTATTTGAACATATTCCATTGCCTTCATGTCAAAGATTTTGAGTAGATCTAGTAAAATGTCGTATTGCTCCAAGCTCAAATATATATATAAATATATATATATATATATATTTATATATCTTTTCTAAACAAATATATTCAAAATTTAAAAAAAAAATATGTATTGAGCTATAAAATGTAAATAATTATTAATAAATTAAAATATTTATCTATTTTACGAACTGTTCCGCTCCACTCTTCTAAAGCTATTTTCCACATTCTTCCACAATTTATGTTGCCCCTCTAATTTAATAACTATATTGCCCCTTTCTTTTACTAGCTAATGTAGCCATACTAGCTTTTGCACAACATTTTTTACAAACTATTTTGCTTTTCTCCTCTACAATCTTCAGACTTTTACAACTATGTTGCCCCATACTTCTAAAGCTATTTCCATTCTTTTCTACCCTTTACTTTATCCCACTTTCTATAACCTAACCTGCCTCACACATATGCATCATTTCCCCAATCTTCTATCTTTATATTGTCCCACTCTTCCACAAGAAACCTTGCCTCAATCAGCCTTGTTGCCCCAATCTTCTCCCAGCTTTGTTGCCCCATTCTTCCTGAAGCTGTTTGCCTCAATTTTCCCCCAGCTATGTTTCGCCACTCTTCCCTAGATTTGCTGCCCCATTCTTCCCCAAGCTATGTTGCTGATACATTTTTTCTTTAGCCTAATTTATAAATGTTATGTTAGTAACAACGGCAAACTTTTATCACCACACCTCCCACCACACAAATCTTTTATCAATTCCCTTCCTTTTTTAAAAAAAAAAAATTGCCGTAGCTCGGAGCGGAGCTGACATAAATGTCCTGGAGCGGAGCTCGGTGTAAACAAGCCGGCCCCTAATCCCTGCTTGAATTACCTATAGTGATGCGGGTCCCATGATTTAAAAACAGCTGTGGCAGTAGCAATACCGTAGTGTTTTGTTGGTTTGTTTGTTCGGTGCCCTTTTTGTTATTTTTTATTTTATTTTTTTGAATTTTAGTGTCACGTTTGATTGGTCTGTTGTCTTATAAATGTAACGCAAAACTTTTAACATGTCATATTTTGACATTTTTATCTAATTTTCAACATGTCATATTTTGAATATTGTAGCCAATTCTTAACATGTCATATTTTGACATTTTTAGTCTACTGTTAACATGTAATATTTTGACATTTTTAGCCAACTGTTAACATGTCATATTTTGTAATTTTTAGCCAACTGTTAACATGCCATATTTTGACATTTTTAACTGTTAACATGTCATATTTTGACATTTTTATCCAACTGTTACCATGTCATATTTTGACATATTTAGCCAACTGTTAACATGTCATATTTTGTAATTTTTAGCCAACTGTTAACATGTCATATTTTGAACTTTTTAGCCAAATCTTAACATGTCATATATTGACATTTTTAGCCAACTGTTAACATGTCATTTTTTGACATTTTTAGCCACCTGTTAACATGTCATATTTTGACATTTTTTGCCAACTGTTACCATGTCATATTTTGACATATTTAGCCAACTGTTAACATGTCATATTTTGACATTTTAGCCAACTGTTAACATGTCATATTTTGAATTTTTTAGCCAACTCTTAACATGTCATATATTGACATTTTTAGCCAACTGTTAACATGTTATATTTTGACATTTTTAGCCAACTGTTAACATGTCATATATTGACATTTTTAGCCAACTGTTACCATGTCATATTTTGACATTTTTAACCAACTGTTAACATGTCATATTTTGTAATTTTTAGCCAACTGTTAACATGTTATATTTTGACATTTTAGCCAACTGTTACCATGTCATATTTTGACATTTTTAGCCAACTGTTAACATGTCATATTTTGACATTTTTAGCCAACTGTTGAACATGTCATATTTTGAAATTTTTAGCCAACTGTTAACATGTCATATTTTGACATTTTTAGCCAATTGTTAACATGTCAAATTTTGATATTTTTAGCTAATTTTCAACATGTCATATTTTGAATATTTTAGCTAACTTTGAACATGTCATATTTTGATATTTTTTTGGATAAATTTCAACATATATATTTTTAATATTTTAGCTAACTTTGAACATGTCATTTTTAGATTATTTAAGCTAACTTCCAATACAGCTTTAGAAACTGAGATAAACTAGTATACGGGAATGAATGTGTGCAAATTACGGTAAAAAGTTTTATAGTTAGGGTTTGGAATTGATGTCTGCATTAAACATCAATACAGAGAAAACGCGCGGATCTGGATTCTGGAGCAATAGTCACACGGAAAGGACAAAAAAGTCCTAACAGACACAAGTGGCTAGTAGTCACGTAGACGACAGTGAATGTCAGTTAAGGCACAGATGTGATTTTCTAATAGACTTGCGTGGTCAGTGGTAAAGACATGTGCAATTTCGGAATCGGTTCAACTTTAGGTGCCAAAAGCCGCCATTTGATCACTTTCGGGGTGGTTTCGGTTATCTTTCGGTTTGTTTTCTGTTTCGCCTGACACAGAAAAGTTAAGTTGCGTTTTTTTCTGTTTTGGCGGAACATGACTGAGACTTTCTACCGTCTGGCCGAAAGTGATTGAGGCTTTTGGTTTTCTACAAGATGAATAATCGTCCCCACTGTCTGTCGCCCGGCAACATTCGTTATTGCGCGACGTCTGACTATCATCATATAAAATATAACAAATCCAATGCGAACACTCTTCACAGCTGCTTGACAACTTATTAGTCCAATATTTCCAAAATTGAAATTTCAATAAGGCAAAAAGGGGAAGTTAAAAACAAAATTAAGGAAAAAAAAACTACTAAGTTTTTCGACATTCTTTAGATTCTTTGCAATAACGAAAACAACCTCTTATTAACTATCCTTTCCGCTACATTTTCGACTCAGCATGTGAGCGAAACGTCCGTTACATCGACGGTAGTCCGTCTGGTTTGCCTTTTGGTGAGAATGGGGTGATCCTTGCCCTTCTGGACGCCATGGACACGATGCCTTATGTCCAGTTTTGGTTGATACCATCTAAAACGACCATCAGAACCTTCAAAACTGCCCATAAGATCCATCTCCTCAAACTGAACTTTACCGATATATTCTCACTCCTTACTAACTGATAAACAACTCTCGATGCTGCTGGGTGACGTCCATGGCTTGACAGGGGTAGACAGTACTGGGGTGGGTGAGGTCCATGGCTAGACAGGGGTAGATAGTACTGGGGTGTGTGAGGTCCATGGCTAGACAGGGGTAGATATGACAGTGGTGGGTGAGATCAATGGCTAGACAGGGGTAGATAGTACTTGGGTGGGTGAGATCAATGGCTAGACAGGGGTAGAAAGTACTGGGGTGGGTGAGGTCCATGGCTTGACATGGGTAGATAGTACTTGGATGGGTGAGGTCCATGGCT